GTCTTCATTCTCCCTTTGTCAGAGAGCTCCTAACCTCATGGGCTACTGTAAATAAAGTAACCCCAAAAGACTGGGCCCAATTAGCCTCTGCAGTACTCGAAAATTCTTGCCAAATTCAATGGAGAGCTTTATGGAGGCAAGAAGCAAAAGCAATAGAAATTCAGGAATTACAGAACGGTCATGAAGTACCCCAAGACAAGATTCTTGGGGAGGGTCCTTACGCTGACACGCAGGTTCAATCTGCATATGACGAGCACATGTTGTCTTTGTGCCGTACAGCTGCTTTAAATGCCTTGGATAAGGTTTGTGAAACAGGAGAGATAATGCAACCCTACACCAAGGTATTACAGGGCCCAAGGGAAAGGTTCACTGAATTTTTAGAGAGATTATCCAGAGCAGTAGAGGTACAGGTAGCGAACCCAGAATCCAGGCGTCTTCTTATAGAATCTTTGGCGTATGAGAACGCGAATCCTCAATGCAGGCAGGTAATTTGGCCATTAAAAATAAGATCAGCGCCATTGGAGGAATGGGTTCTGCATACAGCGAACCTGGAATGTAAAAGTCAGGATACAGGAGCTTGGGTAGGTGAAGCTATTTCTACAGGTTTGAGGAGGCACCAGGATGCCAAATACCCTACCTGTGATGATATAGAGGCATGGGTAGGGAAGGCAATCTCAAAGAATTTAAATAGGCGTAAAGATGCAAAATGCTTTAACTGTGGTAGAATAGGACATCTTAGTAGGAACTGTAGACAACGCATTCCTAGAAATAATGCTTTTACCAGGAATGTATCAAACAGAAGGCCTAAGCCTCCTGGTCTATGCAGGAGGTGTGGGAAGGGGCGCCATTGGACTGATGAATGCTTTTCCACAATAGACAGACAAGGTAGATCTTTACAGCAGGGAAACGGGCTTCCGGGGCTCCATGGAGCCCCGAAGAGGAAGATTATCCGGTCATTCCCAGTGACAGTGGAGGACAGCCTCTCCCAGGACAATTAGAAGATCCACTGCCCATTGTAAATAATACGGCACTGGATAATACATTAGCTCCAGAGGATGAATCAATTACATCAGGAGGAGATACAAAACATATATTTTGGCAAACTTCTATACAATATCATAGACCCAAACTTCCGGTTAAGGTAAATAATAGGGTGATTTACGGATTACTGGACACCGGAAGTGACGTCACTATCCTTAATCAGCAGTCCTGGCCACAAAACTGGGCTTTAAAAGAGGTTAATGTTCAATTCTTAGGGATTGGAACCCTATCTGAAGTTAAACAGAGCGTTAGATGGATTGACTTTATTGGGCCAGAAGGACAGAGAGGAAGGTTAAAGCCATATGTTGCAGATATTGCTATAAACCTCTGGGGTCGTGATCTACTCCAGCAATGGAATACGCAGATTAAAATTCCTCCTGTATCAGCTAGGAATTATAGACAAGCTCTTAGTGGTAGTAAGAATATAGTAAGACAGTACAGAAAACAGATGCCAAATGTACAGGCTGTACAGAAGCAAGATGCTAGTGCCAAACCTACAGAGCAACCAAAAGCTCTACCATTAAAATGGCTGACAGATGAACCCGTCTGGGTGGGTCAATGGCCTATGACATCTGAGAAGTTAGAGGCTTTGGAGAAGTTAGTTCAGGAACAGCTAGATGCTGGACATATTGAGGAATCAACTAGTGCATGGAATTCACCTGTTTTTGTTGTCAAGAAGAAGTCTGGTAAGTGGAGAATGGTTACTGATCTTAGAGCCATCAACAAGGTAATTCAGCCTATGGGGTCTCTACAACCTGGGATGCCGTTACCTTCTCTAATTCCTAAGGATTGGCCAATTATAGTTATAGACTTAAAAGATTGTTTCTTCACCATACCGTTACAAGAAAACGACAGAGAAAAGTTTGCCTTCACAGTACCTACCTATAATAATTCCCGTCCGGTACAGAGATTCCAGTGGAAGGTACTACCTCAAGGTATGTTAAACAGTCCAACTTTGTGTCAATATTTTGTGAATAAACCTCTAGAAATAATTCGTAAAAAATTTCCACATTCGTTAATATATCATTATATGGATGACATATTATTGTCTGATTCAAATAAGGATACTTTGGAAAAGATGTTTGAGGCAGTAAAGGAAATTTTGCCTCGCTGGGGATTACAAATTGCCCCAGAAAAAATACAAAGAGGAGATTCTATTAACTATTTAGGTTATAAAATAGATGCTCAGAAAATTAGACCACAGAAAGTACAGATCAGAAGAGATCGTTACCGGACTCTTAATGATCTTCAAAAACTATTAGGAGAAATCTCTCAATTACAGACGATTATTGGTGTAGAAGGGCATGATTTAAAACACCTGAAAATGGCTTTAAAAGGAGATAAAGACCTAAACAGCCCACGAGTACTATCAGCTGAGGCTGAAAAAGAATTAGAATGGGTAGAAAAGAGAATATTAGAAGCACATGTGGACCGTGTGGATCCAAATCTGGACTGTATTCTGGTTATTTTACCATCTAGAGAATACCCCTCAGGAATATTAATGCAGAGGGACGACATCATTCTAGAATGGGTATTTCTGCCACATAAACAAAATAAAAAATTGAAAACATATATAGAAAAGATATCTGATTTGATATTAAAAGGTAAATTAAGGCTTCGTCACCTGACTGGGAAAGACCCAGCTGAAATTATTGTACCGTTAACGAATGAGGAAATTTCCTCCTTATGGAAAGATAATGAGTATTGGCAAATAGCTTGCAGTGACGTTTTGGGAAGTATTAGTAATAACTATCCCAAAACAGAGAGAATCAAATTCATAAAGAAAACAATTTGGATTCTTCCACGTATCGTGAGGCAAACACCTATTTCTGGAGTTCTTACCTTCTACACGGATGCAAACAAATCAGGTAAAGCAGGGTATAAATCAGGAAATATAAGTAAAGTAGTTCAAAGCCCTTACAACTCCGTACAAAAGGCAGAGTTATATGCCATTCTCATGGTACTTAAAGACTTTACAGAGCCTCTCAATATAGTCACGGATTCTCAGTATGCAGAAAGAGTTGTCCTGCACATTGAGATTGCAGAATTTGTTCCTGATAATACAGAATTAACCTCATTGTTTTTACAATTGTAGGAAATCATCAGAAACAGGACTCATCCTATATATATAACACACATCAGATCCCATACAGGTCTGCCAGGTCCTCTGGCACAAGGCAATGATGAAATTGATCGTTTATTAGTAGGTAATGTGTTGGAAGCTTCAGAATTTCATAAGAAACACCATGTTAACAGCAAAGGTTTAAAGAAGGATTTTTCTATCACCTGGCAACAAGCCAAAGAAATAGTAAGAAATTGTCCCAGTTGCTCATTGTACACTCAAACTCCATTACCAGCAGGTTGTAATCCTAAAGGTGTTCACAGAAATGAACTTTTGCAAATGGATGTATTTCACTTCCCAGAATTTGGCAGTTTGAAATATGTACACCATACTATAGACACATTCTCAGGCTTCCAATGGGCTACTGCCCTCAGCTCTGAAAAAGCTGACTCTGTTATTACACACCTCTTAGAGGTAATGGCTGTTATGGGTATACCTAAAACAATAAAAACTGACAATGGTCCAGCATATGTCTCCAGTAAATTGGAACAATTCTTCAAATATTATAATATAAAACATGTAACTGGTATACCTTACAATCCCACTCCTGACACCAAATTGTTGGCTTTACGGACGCTGTAACGATACGCGACACACAATTACGGAAAGTGAAACTAAGTATTTTATGTAGAAAATTACTCACAAGATACCAAACCCCGAGAAGCCCAGCAGATCTCAGCTAGCGACTGGACAGGAAGCCGAACTCCAGGAAAAGAGAGCGAGACTTCCTGTGCGCTGTCTTTTATGCCTTCCCCCGTAACGCCCCTAGCCATGCCCAAAAGTGGGCTTGGCTAGTGACGTAGTTCCGCCTACGTACGTATACGTCTTTCCGTCCAGCCGTATACGTCTTTAGTCCTGCCTAAAGTGGGTGTGGTTAGCGGTGTGGTAAACCGCCCTTTTATTACCTCATCTGTATGCGCCTCTAGTAAGTCACATGTTTAATGGCGGCATAGACTTAGTAAGTCACATGTTTAATGGCGGCATCAGACTTCCTCCTACATCTGATAATTCGCTTTACAATTTAAATCACTGTGGGAGTCTTTGAAGTACCAGCCCCTTCATTTCTCTTTACCGTCACCACCTCCCTGTTGAATAATATTGTACAAATTTACTCTTTTATAACTGACTAGGAATACATGTAAAGAAAGTATCTTCTATTCAAAGAGACAAATGAAAACACCTGTCTTTGGGACATCTGTTTATTTTCCTCAGGTACCCTGGAGTGTAAGCTTATCTTTTGCATACCAATCTAGAATGACACATAGTGCCACTGTGTCCCTAAAAGCCACATGAGTGGCCTCAGAGTCCATCATGATCTAACAGCCTTCTACAGAAAGAAGTGCCTGTAGGAGTCACAGATCCAGAGTAACCAGCAGAGCTGAAATGGGGAGAAGATGGTGTAGCTATGGAAGGAACTGAAGATGGCATGCACACCCTCACCGTATCAGTCATCAGCTCTCACTGGGGCACAGTTTGATACGCTGGAGCCATCATTTAACTCTACCCAATAAATGTAAGACAAAGCAATGACCATGCTTCTAGGAGTGGCAACATTTTGAGTAACGGTTGTGTTCTGGAAAGTTTTTTTCTGACTGTGAAATTTAGATGATTTTGTTCCACTGTATTTGCTTGTGTTTTTCAAACTTTAGCTCTGTATGCTTTATATTTCTGTTTACCCCAGAGGCTTCCTTATCTGTACACACACACAGAGATGGGATTTAGGCATAAATGAGGAAGATAAGCACCCCACCCCCTTCTCAAAGATGCTCACAGTCCACTGAGGGATAAGTATATAGGTCAGGAGCTAGAAGCAATGCCCTGAATAGTCTTTCTCTACCTGCAGCTCCCCCTCCATTATACTCAGGAGCTGGATGAGGTCCTCCTTGGATAACTCCAGAGACTTCTTGGTCTTTTTTTCACTTTCTCCAGATGGTCTGAGGTGCCGTTTGACAGTTCCCGAGGCTGTGACATCATCTTCCTTCCTATTTGCCTTGTTCTTTTTTGCCTCTTCTGGGAGGCCTTTATCACCAGTGTTGCTGATGATAGAGGACTTGGGGCAGGAGACATGCCCATTAGAAGTATTTTCTCCACCTTGGTTTCGTGATCTCATTCCCACCTGCAACACATGAAAAGAAATGCTCTTCACCACCGCTAAAACTGTTTTTGTCTAAAGACGTAGAAACTTCTAGCAACTTTACAACTTCAGCAATAAAGAGAAGCAGAACAGCTCCCATTAGCTCCCTGGTAGCCTCAGTGAATAAGATAATAAAGTTTCCAGGAATGCTTGGTTGGTTTCAGAAAAAAAGTAAAACCTTTCCAAGCCAAGATCAAGACTGGTATCATCTGTTCTCAGTCACACTGATGGTATCCGATACAGTAAGATGAGAATGGCAGTGTACGTTCTCAAGTCAGTTTATTAATGAAGGAAACACAGATGTGAATTCTCAAAATCCGTAGCCAGGAATCCTTAAAATTATCACGTTTATCAAAAGCAATAAAAACTTTTGCAGCCCGGACAATTAATGTGACTGTGGCTTCTAGAATGGGATCCTAGAAGATGAGACACAACAAAAATGAGTACAAAAAATGGGGGAACATGATCAATTTCAAAATAAAAATTTTAAACAATATTTTCTGGAGAAAAAGGAGAAAGCCACTGGTAAGATACGAACGCACCCTACGGGGAGAACATTCCAGTCATTATATGAAGACTGTCTTAAGGCCGTTCCTCCAGCACAAGAGAACAGGAGCAACGGAGAAGCCGAGCTCAGGGGCTGGAACTTAAGTACGCAGAAGAGAGCTCTGCTACCCTCGGGCCGTGACTAAAAACTTGCGAAGCAGGTGGTCTGTGGTGGTTTGAGTGAGAACAGCCCCCATAGGCTCATACATTTGAGTGTTGGCTCCCAGGTTGGTGGAATTGTTTGGAAAGGATTAACAGGTGTGGAGGAGAGGTATCACTGGGGGTGATCTTGAGGTTTCAAAAGCCCACACCACTCCCAGTTAGCTCTCTCTGCGTTGTGCTTATGGATAAAGCTCTGCCCGCCCGCCCGCTGCCTTGCTCCACACCAGGATGGACTCCTCTGAAACTGTAAGCCATTCTTTCTTCTATAAATTATCTCATTCATGGAGTCTTAGCACAACAAGAAAAAGCAACAAAAACATGGCATTATTTAAAATTCACAGTATAAACAGCCCTCCCCCAAAACAGCTAAACAACAAGATATTTATTATCCATTCCAAACAGAATGACTTTGTTACTGGAACACAATATGGACCCAATCATATTTTAGGAACTAAGGAAACCTTTCAAAAACATATTTTACAACAGATAAGTCTTCGAATGTATGTTGAAATCAACATTTCACGTTCTTTTTTGAAAATAACTCTTACAATGGGATAGACACTTTCATAGGTGAGAGCTCTCTGTAACTGCAAATGATGAGAACTGGAAAAGGATTCCTTGAGACTGGCATATTCCTCTGACTGACTCAGTGATCGCGTCTCAATTTTAGAGCCTCTTTTGTGCTTCTCTAGTAAACAATAACCAAAAATGACGTTATTTTATAATGGAAACCAGGGCGCTTGGGAGTATATCTAATGATCCTCACCACAGCTTATCTGTGGGCTAAGTTTCGAGATGACTTAAAAGAAGAAAGGAAGTGGGACTTGAAAGATGGCTCAGCAGTTGCTACTCCTGCTCGAGGACCACGATTCTGCTCCCAGCACCCACATAGCAGCTCATAATCATCTGTAACTCCAGTTTTAACGGATCCAATGCCCTCTTCTGTTCTCCACAGGCAAGAGGCACACATATAATACACAGACTTATGCAAACTAAATATCCAAATACATAAAATTTAATTGAAAATTAAAAAGAAACAACGAACTTAAAAAGTAAAAATAAGAGAAGGAAGATGGAGAAGAAATAATGAATGAAAAGAAAAAAGTCCAAGAGATGATGAATAGAGTTTCAGATTAATCTCATCACCACACTTAGCCTGCATAGGCTGCCCAAACTAAGCCTCAGCAACTCCACACACAAAAGTTGCTTTTATCTGAAGGAACTCTCTCTCTGTAAACTCATAAGGCCTTTTGAGATGATGGATCAACTAGTAATTTAATAACCTTGATTTAGAACACGAATTAGCAGACTTTCTCTTTCCAGCATGGGAAGCGGGATGATAATTTAAACTGCCATAGCCCTGTGATCAAAACACATTATTTGTGCCTGACGAAATATGTGTGTGTTTATCTGTGTTGTGTGTGTATACTGATCAAAGTTGTAGTTGCGAAAACATAGAAAGCAGAATCAGCTTCTGACCTGGTTTCTTTATATTTGCTTCTTTCTAAATATTTCCACCTGAAGTTAATGCTCTCAAGTAAGTCTTACCATACTATATAAGTGAATTTTGTAAAAATCAATACATACATAAATAAAATGCACCCAACATGAATTTTAGAACTATCCAGTAATTTTACATCATTATTGGCTGGAAAGCTTGAGTTCCAGCTCCCTTCTACATGGATTGGCTTTGGCCAATGGAGGACTTTCTGTAGTAGACCCTTGATATTCATTTTGTCTAAGCAAATTTTTTTCTTGGTGTCATTGAACTTTCACATTGATGACTTTCTTTTTTGACATGGGGATATAGATTCTAGTCCCACTTCCTACGCTTTGTGAACAATTTCTCGGTCTTCTATCTCTATTTCCATTACATCAGTGATCAGTACCTTTCTGTCTCCAGAATATGATAGCCATCAGTGATAACACACTAATCAAGACAGTTCAGGAAGAAATTAGACAGGGCCTCTGGGGATAAATTACGATTTTTTCAATCTTATAACCAACTGCACTACCACAGAGAATTACTTTAAGAAGCCTTATGGAGACTAATGTCCTAGCAAGGCACTTTCTGTTGCCTGCTTGAGGGGACCCATGCTTGTCTCATTTCCAACATTTCTCCACTGCCTCTTATGTACACACAAGGATAACATCTGAATTTTACATCTACCTCAGAAGCAGGTACCTCTAGTGTGAGACTTGAAGATGAGGCCAATGAGGTTTAAAGACATAGGCGAGCGCTCCCTTAGTCACTTAGATGGGAAGAGCTAGGTCTGAGCATATGTCTAATCAGAGGATGGAGAAAATATCATGAATGCTCACAGATAATGTCTTCCGGGTGTGCACAATGGAATTGGAGAAATGCATGCATATGTTCTCCTCCACAGGCACCTGCAAAATTCCTATAGTAATTGAAATTTGGTTACTAAAGGAAAAACAAAAACATCTATTTCCAAACCAATGAACTGCAAAGAACTTGTAAAATGATGAATTTTCTTAGGCCCCTCCTGAGAAACCACCTGATCAGCTCCAAGGGTACATGCTATGGAAACAGGATGCAAAGTCTGAACAGGGATGGCCATTACATACATGGGTACTGTCCTTAAAGCCCCAGAGCCAAACAATAGCAAACATCTAATGAGAAACGGTTAAATCGAAGAGAACAGGCAGGCGGCCTACAGTGCGGGTGGAGCCCCACAGGCCTTCAATAGCCCACTGCAAGTTTGAAAACTGTAGGTAAATTCCCTGAGAGAACTCAGACGCCTTTGTAGCCCTCCATGGCATATCGGTGAAAGAGATTTCCCACTGGAGACAGGGAGAGTACAGTGAAGAGTCACACGTTTTGCAGCTCTTTTTGAAAACGGGTATTCTTTGGGACACAGATCCATACTTTCGTAAGCAAACCATATCACAACAGTTCATTAAACACACTTATTTGTCCTTCCATAGCAACCTGTCAGCAACACAGGGCATGGAATGTGCTGAGTGGAGTGGGAAGAAAGGAATGGCTGAATAGCATCCTGAAACTCCTTCTTTTATCTGTGGTCCTCCCTCCTCCTCATTCCTGCTGCCTTTCACACTGGGCAGCACCACAGAGTTCTGTCAGATGGGTGATATCACACCAATTGCAAAACATAAATACAAATATGTGGAGTCATTTATGCTGCAATATCAGGCATTTCCCAAAGTGTTTGAAGAAAAGACTGGAGAGATAGCTCAGTGCTAAGAGCATCAACTTTTGTAGAGACAGGTGGGCTCCCAGTACCTGTGTCCTGCAGCTTACAACCCCCTGCAGTGCCAGCTCCAGCCTCTAATGGCGCGCACGCGCGCACACACACACACACACACACACACACACACACACACACACACACACACACTTTAAAAATACAGAAAAGGGGAAAGGGCTAAGTGCTTAACAATTAAAATTCCATTCTGGTCCCAAGCTTCCTTGGCCCTTCGAGTTCCTACTCTGAACTTCCACAGATACGCCCACCCTCACACATGGTCCATATCATATACTTATTTCCCTGTGGTGAGTCAACACTGCTAAAAAATACTCCCTATTCACCATCAGCAAAGACTTCTTTTCTGCAGGAGTTTGGCTCTCTCCTGTACTTTTGGTTGTGAGCCTAGCCTTTAACGGCTGAGCTGTCTCTCCAGCCTGAGTTTGGCTCCTTCTTAGATGCATCAGTTTCTCAAGCACCCAACCCCTGTCTGTTTCTGGCTTTGTTTTCTCTATTCATAGCTTCAAGAGCCTACCTGGTACACAAGATGAGAAGCCACAATATCATATGGATGCATATATTTATATTGTTGATTACTTCATAGAATTATAAGAAAAAAAAGCCTAATACACAGTTAAAAAAAAAGGTAACCCCATCATTTGAGAAAGGCTTATGCTTCATAGTGTAGCCTAGCAGAAAAAGCCCAGTGGAGTGCTGGACCGTCACCACAGAACAGTCCTCATTTTCCTTTCAGATAGAAAAGAAAAAAAAGTGTTTAAAACCAGGGGCAAAAAGAAATAGTTGGTTCTAGTTTTATGTCCTCCATGAATTAGACCATGTTGACATCCGTGGTCTGTGCTGCCAGAGGGGGCCATGTTGATGTCCTTGGTCTGTGTTGCCGTTGGAGACCATGCTGAGCTGAGTGGTCTATGCTGACCCTGGAGACCATGGAAGAAACTCTTAAGAATGGTGATAGGGGATGCTAAAGGGTAGCTCTTCACAGTCGATGGCTTCTGACAGGGGTGAGGGTGGGGAAGGACTCAGTTT